CTGACAGAATCTAGTTTTCATTTTCCCATCAGCGTTTCTTCAACTGCAGGACTCAGCTGTCTGAGAGTAAGTGCAATAATCAGCCCCAGAAAACACCATGGCTACTTTAATTCAAAAACGCAAGGACATCCCCATGCACGCTCAGGGAGATATCCAGCCTCTGCCGAGGGCCAGGAAGGAATCCGTGGGGCTCCTCACTCATGCTCAAGTGCCCCCATGAAGGTTCAGGTGGTGTTTAGCCCTCCAGACGTCCCCTGCCCAGGGTGTGCTCACCTCGGTGCAGGAGGAGGCCACGGAAGGAGTGTCCCCTTTATACCACAGTTAGAATAACTGTAAAAGTATTTTCCCGTGCAAATCACATACGGAACAAGAAGTCATGAAGCTGCTCAGACTTTGGGAAGTTTGAACAGTTTTCCTTCTCCTGAACTGATAATCACCTGTGCTCAAGAGGCTGGGTGGGTTGCGCGTGGTCGCCTGTTGCCTACCTATTACTGCTAAGAACAAGCAAAATCGTTCCCGGGCAGCATGCACAAGGAAAAAAAAAAACAAGAAAAAAAATAAAAATGTACCTCATAATGATTATTAAAGTTCCATTCTTTCATTTGCAAGAACTCACATTTTAAAGAAAGAAGAAATGAGTATCAGGAGATAAGGAACCATTAATGAGCCCTCTGCCTTGGTTTCAATTACATTGTGAAATTAATTTAATGCACTTTAAGAATACAAGAGGTAATCGCTCTCTCTTGGTAAGAGGTTGCAATTTTCTCTAATAAAGCGTCAATATAAATATGTTACTTTAAGACAGGGAGAACAAGTCAGTTAATTCAGAAAGAATGGGACATATTAAAACAAATGCTATCAAGGAAACCAAATGGCAAAACTAATAAATAAACTGGCTGAATGAAAATTGTATGGCAGAGAGCTGGCAAATTGAGGTTTAATTAGAAACTTATTTTTAAAGAGTGTTTTATGCTAATGATATGCATCCAAGTGACTAATGCTGTGAAAGATGACATCACTCTAGTAATTTAACAAAGAGGAGTAGCCCATGTGGGGAGAGATGTTTATGGCTGGAAATGGTAAGAAAAAAAAAAAAAAAGGTAAGAAATCTGAGACCAATGAACCTGAAAGTAAATACATACGTAGATACAAAAGGTTAATAATGCTTGTGGGTTTAAAACATGCTGGCAAAGCGTGAAATGGCCACACAGACTGGACAGACACAGAGAGCTTTCTGATGGATTGCCCAGTGTCCCCACAGCAAAGGCTGATGGTGAGTCCACTGACGTCAGCAAACTCTTCTACTGGGACACTGGATGGAGGGAAATGAGCTCAATAAACGTGCCATGGGGAGGTGTCTACTGGCTCTGCTTTGGAGGATACACCACTGATGCCATGACCTAGTGCTCTGAAATGCTGAAACCCAACACTCAAAGGGGTGAGACATCTTTCTTGCAACCCCAAGAATCAAGTTCGTGTGAAGAAGAGCAGCTCGCAGGAAACCATGCAGAAGAGTGCACCACCGGGAGAGAAAATTGGAAAGTTTCCAAAACTCTCTTTAATGGACTAAAACACTTTTTAGAGAGTTGTCTACTTTCATTTTCTCAGTTTTGAGGCAACGGGACACACACGGCGAATTGCCTCCCAGCCTGCTGAAGTAGCGACAGCGGAACAGCCTCATGCGTCTCCCAAGTAATTAAAGCTCCTCAGCTCCTGAGCAGGTGCCTTGCAGCAACACCCAAGATGTGTTAGAATCCCCCAGTAACACTCTGCCTAACACATTTTATTGCCTAATTACTCCCACACTCATGTTTAGTGCCCTTGTTAATCCAGTACTTGAAGAGAATACTTGCCTCAATTAAACGTGTCTCTATCCTAATCTTCCCTTCACTGGTGTAAATCAGGACCCATTTCACCAACGTTAACGTGTGATGTCTGGGAATGTCAGTGTCAGATGTCTGGGAATGGAACGATTAGGCCTATATCCCAAAATGAACATGTTGTCTGGCACCTAGAATGTATTTATTTTCTTGCATCAAAACAAAATCTGCTTTTTCTGCGGTACAAACTGAAAGTAGAGCTCTTAAGCTTTTAATGCCGAGATTAGTCCCAACTCCAATGAAGTGGTTTTTTTCCTGACTCCTACCAAAGACACCGCAGCAGTACCTCTGGTACCAGCTCTGATGATTTCATTCAAGGCAGGCTACAGGTTTGCTCACTCCATCCTCAGAAAGACAACGATGCAAATGAAGGCGAATACAGGGCAATGCCATTAAAGATAATCAATATCACGGGTGGACAGAAGACAGCACAGACACAGGAGGTCATCTAGAACATCCCAGCTCAGCCTTTGATCAAGCCACGATGCAATTAGTTTGAGTGTCTCTGCCCGTTGCCGCACAGCGGAGGGGGCAGATAGGACCCCCCTCTTCAGGGGCTGGGATAGGGAGTGTCTGAGTCCTTCTGTTCACACGGAGTGAATGTCTGGAGGGAATTCAGCCTCGTGACATATGGAAATGTGAAACTCTGGGAAAGCTCCAAGCCACAGAACCACATTGTTCAGGGATTGCTCAGCTGCTCGTCCCTCACAGGTGCCAGCAGTGGAAGATGCTGTGAACGTTATCAAGGCTACAGGATCGCTCGTGACGCCACCTTGCCTGTGAGCTGCAGGCAACACTGTACCTTTGAAAGAGCTAAAAGTGCAGAAAATTAGCCACAGCTGTGCATATTCCACTGTCCTTGTCAATGGCCAGGCACTGAGAAATACAACACTGCAATTCACAGTAAGGACAAGAGAGGAAAAAAAAAAAAAAGAATTTCCACAGAGATTTCACACTCCATGGAGAGAAATAAGACATCTGCCTATAAATCAAAAGTGATATCCATTGCGACAGTAAGAATAAACACTAGAACTACCATCATTTCCTGTCTTTTTCCATTCATGTCAATTGAGAAAAATCCTCAAGATCACCAAAAAACAGGCTTCAGGCATCCTCAGGCTCTACCATCACTTTTATGTCTCTTATCAAATTAATATTAGTAAAAACTCCTTTTTAAAAAGAGCCAACGTTCAGAAATGACAGGATGAGGGTGGCTTATTGACTCTTCCTGGTGCCCTAACAGGTTAATGAAAATTAAATCAGTATGCAGAAGTCAACTCAAGGTCAAACACTTATGTGACACTTTTCTGAAGTACCCAGATCAGCCAGTGCATATCACAAGGTCACGCAAGAATGGGACTTTTCAAGCTACGTAGAGTTTTTATTTTTCTTTGAATAGTCACAGAGCAAGTATCTTTTCTGTCAGTACGACAAACGTTCTTCCACCAACTCCAGAAAAATGAACAACTGAAACTAAGAAACTGCAGGTTTCCAAAAAGGAATCAATACAGTTTCTCTGATCTCATGAAGAGACTTCTAGTCAAGCTCTGGGAAACCCTGGGGAGACTCACTTCACCCAGACTCATCTTACCCAGTCCTGCTCCTTCTCTTTCTACCACCAGAAAGCCAAAATAAGATATCCAAAACAGTCACGTCACTACCAGCTGGAAAAACTGAGGGGGAAGGAGGGGAGACTGAGACACATAGAATGTTTGTAACCCAGAGGAATGAATTACACGAAGAATTTACGAGAAACTTTTAAAAGGAAAGCAACAAGAGGATATGGGGGAGCACTGGAGCCACAGATGAAAGGGGAAAAGGGGAGAAATGGCTCATCCTCCTTGGCTTTCAGTGGTGACACAACTGCTTACAGCCCCACCAGTTCACACACCAGGCTCAGCAGCAACTTCATGCAGCACCTGCCACCCCAGGGCACCGCTTTCTGTAACAGTCTGGGGGGTGTCCCCATATAAACGTGGAAAAAGTCTTCTTCTGCTACCCAACAACTGTTAGCTGGGGCTTCTTTGATCCCTCCCAACACCTCTGTAAGTGCAGAAGTGATTGGGATAAAGTACTTAGAAATAATTAACCTCTGTTACTGCCTCAAGACAGAAAGGAGTGAAACAATGGAAAAAATGGGATGGTGCCTCAAAGAAAAAAGGGTCATATGTTCCTGCCAATTTTTGTTCAACTCTGGAAAGACTCCACAGGCAGTAACACAGCTATTTCAGGTGACAGCAAGGCAGCGAGAGCACAAGGTGCAACCCTGAGTTTTGGAAATAGGGAGCTACCTGTAGCATGGCCCATGGCAATCACCCTGTCATTTCCGTACGGCTCATTTTGAGAGCATGACATGTGTTGAGGAACTCTCTTTACAGCTACTCCTCTGTTTGTGTTACGAGTAAATTGGTTTCTGACACCTTCGCTGGTGAAGCAGCCCCTGGGGTGATTCTGAAGTCCTCAGAAGACTTTGAAGCAACTCTAAATTCCAAGACAGAACCCAGGCATTGTCATCATTGGTCCCTCAAGAGCAGCACCTGGTGAAGCAACCTGGGGACAGGAGCATCGCATCTTAATGTTTGTCTCAGGTTTGCTCAGTCTGGTCTATTCGACTTAACCATTTGGTCTGTTCTGAACTAATTGCCATGAAAATAAGGAATGTACTCTACTCTGTTGAATTATGCCATGAAATTAGAATATAAGAATTATGCCCCGCTGCGTTCAAGGTTAGGCTAGTGTGAGATCTTCTCTTAATTATCTACTTAATAGAGTGGTAGAGAGAAAAAAGTTAATGGGAAGCTTTTTCAGTGACATTCTGCCAATAGCAAGAACAGTCCTCAGGACAGGAAAGCTGTCGACAGAGCAAGGGAGAGGAGGACCCACAGAGACACAGATATCCTGTCTTTAAGAAAAAATAAATAACAGAGTCCACACATATAAGTCAAGTGGTTCGGGAAAGTGTTGTTCTGCTTTTGAAATCTTCCTTGGGGGAAAAAAAAAAAGAGAGAGAAGAAAAGAAAGAGGCTTTTTCTTTGAATAGTAACTGTAATCAAGTTGTGTCACCACTGCAGCTTGTACATTACTGGCATTGTGCTTCACAGGAAAAGGAGACCCACATACCTTTTGTCGCCAGCCGGACACAGTTGATTTTTGTTTCCTGAAAAATAAAAAAAAAAAAATATAGGAAAACGTCAAGGTGTGTAATTTGTCCATTTACAATAAGCATAAATTCCTTTAAAAGGTACTAGAACAAGCGTTTTTCTTAAACTTCGCCTCTGAAAATGCCACCAACAGTTTTAGTTGCATAAACCACTCTGCACTAATGGACTCGCACGCAGCTGCTTCTCTAAACTGTTGAGAAGTTAAGAGTGTCAACATGTTTTTCCCCATTCGATGTGAGCGATGGGTCCCGTGGAACTGCCTGATGAACTGGTAGAATTCACCAGTTAAATGACCTGATCTGCAGTAGGCAGACAAGCCTTGGGTCAAAAGTACACGCAACTGTACATCGAATTTTCATGCACCATTACTGCAAATTTTGCAAATTGGGTATTTATTTAAACACATGGCAAACAGACACCGAAGCAGTCACTGGAATATTCCAGCTCCACGGATCCACGTAAACAGGAGCTTGGATTGGAACAGAGATGTTGTATTTGGCTTCACTAAAAGCTCAAGCTCGGCAGCCTTCTCGGGCCACCTCCTCTGAAAACACATTCCTTCTGGTAGCCTCAGCTCCTCATTCTACAGCCCAGATTGGCACATATCGCTCCTGCCCGATGCGTGATCCCCCACCCAAAATCTTAACGTCCTGCTTTGGTTAAAAACTGACTTTGCCAGGCAGTAACCTGCAGGGATTTCGTAGCACTTTATGTCTTTACAAGCTCCTGTACACATCTCAGGTGTAATGAACACTGCATAAATTACTGCCTGTGACAACGCTCCATTAATATGGATGTTGTCTGGGCTCTGGAAACAACAGCCCAGCGAATGCGCTGCTGAGCACCTCACTCCAGCCTCAGAGGGTGAGATGAACACTGTGAAAGCCTGGATTTGCTCTTGGAGAAAATCTAGTCTGTCTGTGACAGACCGTCCTTGGCCTGAGCAGAAACCCATGGTCCCATCGTGCCCTTCTCCTCACACTTACGTTGCGTGTAGGAAGAGGACAATGGTAGGACCCACACTGGGAAAGGAAGAGTGATTCCCTCTGATGCCTCAAGACACAAGTCAGCCACACTGTCTGAATGCAAGTAACCCTGTGTCTAGTCTAAAAACAATGCAATATTCAGGAGAAACTATAACTCTATGAAACTGTCCCTTTGTTGATATAGCTTTCAAACTCTCTCAGGGAACTCCTGGAAGACCAAGGACAAATCATGTCTATTAAGGACATCCTTAAGGGAGGACTTTGTAGAAGTAGGGTAGATGGTTGGACTCGATGATCCCAAGGGTCTCTTCCAACTTGAATGATTCTATCCTTTCCCAGCCCCCAGAGCAGGACTGAAGTACTGTTTATCCCAGTAAACCAGAGGCACCATTCTTTGGTCCCCTCACCCTTCTCTCCCTCAAAAATCAACTCCCCCACACAACCCGTACAACCGCCGGCACCACAAAGTCACCAACAGAGCTCCCCATTCGTCTCTGCCTCCCGTATAATCAGCTCGAATTGCCAGCTATTCTGGAAATCCAAAATCTTTATTACTAGTGATGGTATATGAAGCAGGAAAAACACAGCTTTATTTTCAGAGCACAGCCTCAGCACGTAATGCTGGGAATTGTAAGACGGATAGATTCTGATGTGGTTTGCAATCTAAGACAAGGTGACCTGGAAAATCAGCAATGAAAAATAAAATAAATAAAAAATATCAAGATAGCATTTTTGCAGCCTAAAAGTAGGTGGGCACTTGCTCGCGCTTCATTGTGGAAAATTTTCTTCTGTATTTATGGCTCTCTGCTAGCTTCAAAGTACAACAAAAAGCTGGATAAATTAGTCAACGTTTAGAAAAGAAGAGGTGAGAAAACAAAACCCGAAATCTTGTTAATGATGCTGTAACTGATCTCAGTTGAGCATGTGCGTATCCCTGCACATTGCTCTCCCACGGGGTAATCTGAGAAGACAGGATGCAGTGTCTTCTGTTTGAATCTACATCTACTAATTGCTGCACTTAGCACAGACAATCAGTTATTAGAAGACCATGATCTGACACTGCCAAAAGCAAGGGCGATCAATCACTTGGGGAACAAGACATCTGGACTTCATCTCAAGTTGCATCTTCTGAGAAGGAAAACATAAAAGAAACCTGCACAGACACCAGACGTCCAGCTACTAGGGATGCTGAAGTTTAAAGACTTGAATTCAGTCCATATTCCTGATAAGACCTGATTATTCCATTGATTTCCATTGATCATCTCATTGATCAACCCACTGCTCATCTCTTTGGTGTCTCATAAAAATGAAATCTCTTTAAATTTACTCTATTTTTCTTTACTGATGCTGAGAATTGTGAGTTTGTATGAACTTTTTTACAAGAAGCAGAATAAATAAATACATGAGGTTTTTTTTTTTTAAAAAAAAAAAAAAGTAGAACCATTTTCCCACAATCACATTTGTTTTCTGAAAACACTACTTTTGATTCAGACAAGTTGCTTTCCTGACCAGAAGTAAAGATGCTTCTTTTTAGCCAATAGTAAAGCAGGTAATTATCACGTTTATGTGAGGTAGTTTAGGTAGGTAATTCTCATTTATCTGTCCAGATAACTTAAAGCAACCACAAGAAAAATAATGAAAGAAAGGGATAATAAAAATTTTTTTAGAAAAACATAAGTCATTTTCCTAAATTTCAGTCTCTGTGTTGTTTCTGAATGTTCTTTCGAATGCTGTGACACCCCTGAAGTTTTACAGGGCCTTATGTCTACAACAGCCTTAATGATGACCCCAGATCCTACATATTCAGTATAAGATACCTGTTTTATATTATGGCTGAAATCCTAGAAGTAACTTAAGGTCCCAGTGCACAACTCTTTGGCTCGGTATCACTGCCAGGTTATACCAAGACGTTTGGATCCAAACAGCAAGAGACCAAAGTAGGCATTTTTTAATCAAGATCCTGGAACAGGAAGACACTCCATGAATATGTCCTACAGCTCTTGATCCAACTTCCATTTTCCAACATGCTTTGTACCCAGAAAGCTGACTGAGTATGAAGCCCATCTACATGTTTACTAGAACGTATTTATGGAAATTTGTTTTCTGGAACTTCCACATGAATAAAAAGGAGTACGGTGTACCCTCACTCAAGGCTGAACCCCAGTTAAATTTTTAAGTCCAGGCAGCATGGACACAGAGCACAGGAGGATGGTGTTTCAGAGCACTGGCAGTCTGTGGTTGGAGAGCAGACCCATATCAGAGCAGACCCAGTCAGAATGGGCTGGAGACCCCTCTGAAGAGAAACCACCTTGTGCTGTGGAGCTGGGGGAGCCCCTCTCTGCCAAAACTACAATACCATGAGCCTGTTTTAGCATCCCTCTGAACTTTCAGATTTTTTAAAAAATATCCTTTTTTTAAAAATATCCTTTGTTTATTTCTTTTTGAAAGCAAGGGAGCTGACGCTGTCTACTAATTATTTAGGTTCCTGAACGCACATTTCACTGAAGTACACTGGATGATAACAAGACAAGTTCTGCCTCTGTCTGTTTAGTGTTTGTATGGGAAGAATTTGCTGCAGAAAAGGGCTATGAGGGCAGCAGGACATATGTTTATGTGACAGCTGCATCTTCACAACCTAAAAGGGCAAATGCTTTTTTTTCCTTTTCCTTTAAAATGACAGCTTGCTGTTTACAGACTACGAACAACAATAAAAGAAGCAGAGCTTTTTCATCCATCTGTTTTCACACCCACAATTTTTCTTTTACTTTACTATTATTATGACTTTGCCTTAGTTAAACAGCGCGTGCCTCGTCTGAAGAACCACCTGCCAGCACAGTGAGACCTGCTGTCCCCAGACGGACCGTTCAGGGCTGTCCTCCAACAGGCACGGTTCCATCAGGCAGCTCCAACTGGGGACAGGCAACGTGAACTTTTGCTGGTGCCCAGACCAGACAAGAAATGATCAATTTCCCACTTGGTCTCAGTTTCAACTTTAGTTCCCCATGTTCCAGACCTCCACACTGACTGTGCTTGCTGCCAACCTGCTTCACACCGGATAGAAACCATCACCGTGTCCACTGAACATCATATGGAATTATTTTTGTGGTCCTCAACAGATTTTGCCCCAGTTCAGAGGAGCTGTAGATCGTGTGCTTCTATTTCATCCCACTGAAGCCAACTCTTTGTTGTCTTTAAAATAAATGATGTGCCTCTGCCTGTGCAGGGTCAATGGACTCCCCTATAATATCTATTGCCAGCTTAAGGAAACTGCTCGTTCTCCAATAGATCACACCAAACCTGGTATTGTCTTTCTAATTATCAGATATTTTTAGTATCCATGTCACTTGGAGAAGGGAGGTGTAACAAAGTGGTTATGGCGTTTACTATTTACAATAGAAAGCTATTTCAATGACATATAGTTAATCACTGAATACCCACACCTCTCAACCTCTCAACCGTGAAGGAGACAGGAAGAGGGGTCAGTTAATCACTGAATACCCACACTTCTCAACCGTGAAGGAGACAGGAAGAGGGGTTTATTTACTATCCAGAAAACACTCAGGTCCATGTATTCTGGCCCGAGATGGTCAACCTGATGTGGAAACGGGGGCTTAAAAAGAGTGAAGTGCTTCCACAGCTGCTTTATTTCTGCCCCAGCAGCTCCAACATGAGATGAAGGAGGAGTAAACGTGAGTGAAGAAAACTGTACACCTGAAATCCTACGGAACTTGAAGATGTTTAATAGTTTGCAGAAGCAATGCAGGCACCTTGGTGCCACTTCATTTTTCAGAACGCAGCTCGTGCTGAACTGAAATACCTCACTGTTTTTTTCCTGGGCCATCTCCACAGGGATGAATACCACCTCTCTGCTGGCAGCTCTAGCCATACCTCCAACACATCCCAGATGAAGAATATTGCGTACGGTGAGTAGACCTGTCAGCATCTAGAAATCCAGCCTGAAGTCCCCTGATAATAATGAACTGCCTGATTGTGCATGTAGTACAAGTCATTAGAGAGGAAAAAAAAAAATCAATGAAAATCTCTGTAGAATCTATCATTCCCTCAAAAATAATATTCTCATTGATTCCTGTGGTGCTACTTTTCACAATTTGGGCCTGGAAACATCATTCACCTGTTGGACCACCAGCAGCTGGCAGCATCCCCCACATCATCTCCTGCCGCGTTACAAAGGCTCCTGCCTCATCTCCCGTTTAGAGGAAAAATGGCCAAGAGTTATCGATCGCAACTGGGCTGTTACAGGTTTCACTGTAACTCAATGAGGCAAAATGCAAGTGCAGGATGGGCTTTTAGGAAGCTCTGGTTTCTCAGCTGCTCAAAAATTCAGGCAGGTTTCACACAGCCAAGTGTGTTAACTGCATCACTGACCAGAGACTGTCACCTACAGTGACCCAGATAAAGAACTTGGGGACAATAAAAGCCCCAACGTTTAGCTTTGATGATGCAGTCAGTATAAGGGTAAGGGAGGATGAGGAGTGACACAGTGTTGCCAGCCTGGCCTCACCTTTCAGAGGGATTAGTGCTGCAAGGGCTGGTGTTTTAACGGGGCTAAACTTGGGGAGGCTTTTGAGCCAAGGAGAACGTGGTGCCCTGTCAGGCAGCCATCTGCAGCAGGTGGCACTGGGACAACCACCAGCCAACTACCTGGATGGCTGCGACAGTGTGTGTGGAGATCCTGCCAGAGGACAGGCAAGCCAGTTGTCCATTCTTCTTCCTCTGTCACTTCTGGTGCTAACTCCTTCTAACAATTAAAACGTAACTAAAGCTGCTTCTCCTCCCCAACTCCCTTCCTCCCAGTTACAAACCCTGCAGCTTCTGGTTCCATTTTCTCTTTTTTTCTCCCCTCTTACTTCCAACTCTGACACATTTCAGCTCAGCATCTGGCTTTCAACAGTCCCTAGGAGGGAAATTCGCACAATTTGGAAGCGTTTTGTATAACAAAGCTGAAAACCATTCTGGTTTGCACATGTTCTATTTAGACCCCTGTCTGGAAGCAGCACCACGTTGACCAAACTTCGTGCAACCGTCCTCAGAAAAGAACTGAGGCAGAGACAGCTCATTCAAAGTCTCAAACAGCAAGTACGACGCTGCACAAGAGAAGGCAGAAAAGCTCATGATCTGATTTCGCAGCAATTTGCCACACTTGTTTGGCATCCAGCTGTTAATTATGTTCCTTTCACTGTAACAATCGTGGCTGATGGTTGCAGAGCAGACGAGAACACCAAATGAGCACAACCCCCCCCCATCCAGAGGAGCTGAGACAACACAGAACTCCTGGAGCACTTCTACCTCCTCCTCATCAAGATTTTTGACCAAATGCAGACTGTTTGTTCAAATTAAGCTCTCCCCAGAGCCCTACATTTCCAAAGGAAGATGCTCTGGTTCACTGCACGAAGGCTTCTCATGGCGGGTTCCAGGTGTGGAAAGAAGTTTCATCATTCCACAACTGTCAGTGATTAATGAAACTATAGAATATCCTAATTAAAAAATGAGTGGCGATGTTAAGTTTCTCATGTGCAAGGGAACATAAGACTGTATTTTAATTGAGCTAAATTGTTACTGTTTCAGATTTTGGGCAGATGTGTGTTATCAGAAGCGCCACGTTGCACCCATAATTATTTGTAGGCTTCACGACGCCCAGTCAAAGCTGCTCAGGCTACAGACGTAAGTAAAAACACAGAATTCTTAAATACAAATTATACCTCTAAACAATTCTGGGGATGAAACAAAACTTATTATTTATAGTTGCAAAAGACTGGATGAAAATCAGACCTTAGAGTTTGAAATGTGGGGCTTAAGGATTTTATCCAGGAACAAAAACTATCACAGCTACTTCCTGGAAGATCCACATTCCATTCGGGGACATTTCCTCTGTGTATTTTCCCATAACACGGCACTTCAAGGATATATAAGCATATACTGCACCAAGATAAATTATTAACACAATGGGCAATTTCTTACTCAAACAGGAATTTGTTTTGTCTGGCAGGACATTTCTAATGCTTTCACACACTGGGTCTTGTGGCATACAGACTCTTTTGATTAATTATGCTTAAAATGTCCTTTACACTCTTGTGTTCCTATTAGAAAAGCCCAAGCAAGTCATCCTTCTTTGAGACCTTATCACCTTGTATGTGGAGAGTGTGATGTGACCTGACAGCTACAGAGATCCCCAAAAAAGCAGGAACCACACATTAAGTGCTGCCTTAATCCCGAACGCCAAGGGAAGCCTACACTTCCATTCATCCCACCCATTTATGGCATATTATATTGTACTTAAGCAAATAAAGTTTTTTCTTCCCTGGGGATCCATTCACTAGCAATTAACTATCACACAAGGGGGAACTAACTAGACACAGAGAGACACACACACATATATTTCACCATTTCCCTTATAAAGGCAAATCCAAAATTGAATTAACTGAGCGGTACTGGAAGGAGGCTACATCGACCAGAAAGGAAACCCAGGTGAAAACCAGCACAGCGTTGAGGAGATTTGTGCTTGTCAGGCACAGAGCAGAAGCTCTGCAGGAGAATGGTGATAAATGAAGGCAGTAAAACACCCCGGCACGCTGTGAACACGCACTGGCATTGCTGGCCCGTTAAACGATGCGCAGCCCTCTGCGACGTGCAGCTGTGATTTGGCATTTTGGGTATAAAAGACACTATCCCAAGTGGAGACCGAAGCCTACACCATTCACCTTTGATTGATTTTCCTAATTTTGCTCTTTCAGGGGTGATGTCTTGGAGAACTTATCCATGTTGAAGTCACAGATTCATGAAAGTGCTGGCAAACGTGCTAATAACACACTCGGCTACCCAACTTCTTGATACCGTGTTAATGCTCTAAGACTCTTCATGAAGCCAGAGTGTCAAATTGTATCATGTTATGTGAGAAGGAAAAAGAATTAGGGCAGTCAAAGGGGAGGAAGGTGAATGACTGCTTAGGCTGGATGTGACCTGCTCGCTGTGAGCTGAACAGATCTGAAACAGGGAAGTTAAAAGAGCAGGTCACAAACTATTCTAGGCTGGAATAGATCGGGAGAGGAGAAAAAGGCCTTCACTTTTCCTGTGATGGGACTTGCTGTGGCATTACATGTACATCACTTGAATCTGAGAATAGCAGACTGTGTTTCCTATGCTGTCTCTACATTAAACTTAACATCACGGAGTAAGTTAATGTAAAAATATAGCCCAGGGTATTCAAAAGCAGTAAGAAAGACATGCACGTCGTCCCCACTGCAGTGGGACTTACCCAAGCTGAAAATTCCAACCATAAGTGCTACATGATGATAAGACCAAATGCAAGCTACAAGGTAACCCAACTTCACAGATTTTGGGCAGATCTCATCTCCTAATGCCTCCTCCAAAATCACAAGCACCATGAACTGGAGACTACCAGGATACTGCAGTTACGAGTATTAAAAGCATAATAGCCCTTACTCTGACATTCATGCAAGGAAAAAATATGCAAGGAAAAAAACCACTCAAATTCTAAGCAATTAATTTTATAAATTACATGCCAGCATGTGTCTTTATATAGTCTGGCTCCCCAGTAGAATTCTCATTGGATCTAGGCATCAGAGACTTGATTGAAAGGAATCTAGTGGCATGTTTAGTTTTCACAGAATCACAAAATCATCATGGTTGGAAGGGACCTCTGAGATCATCGAGTCCAACCACAAAAAAAAAAAAAAAAAAAAAAAAAAAAAAAAAAACCTCTACACGTTTCTTGAATAACCTCCAGGGATGGTGACTCCACCACCTCCCTGGGCAGGCTGTTCAGTGCCTGACCACCCTCTCAGGAAAGTAATTCTTCCTAATATCTAATCAAGCCTCCCCTGCTGCAGCTTCAGACCATTTCCTCTGGTCCTGTCATTATTCCCTTGGGAGAAGAGGCCAACCCCCACCTCTCTACAACCTCCTTTCAGGTAGTTGTAGAGGGCAATGAGGTCTCCCCTCAGCCTCCTCTTCTCCAAAGTAATTCCCTCAGCCTCTCCTTGTAGGACTTGTTCTCCAGACCCCTCACCAGCTCGGTGGCTCTCCTCTGGACATGCTCCAGCACTTCAATGTCCTTCCTGTAGTGAGGGGCCCAAAACTCAAGACAGCACTTAAGGTGAGGCCTCACCAGTGCCGAGTACAGAGGCACGATGACTTCCCTACTCCCACTGGCCACGCTATTCCTGATACAGGCCAGGATGCTGTTGGCCTTCTTGGCCACCTGGGCACACTGCTGGCTCATGTTCAGCTGGCTGTCCATCAACACTCCCAGGTCCTTTTCTGCTGGGCAGCTTTCCAGCCACTCTTCCCCGAGCCTGTAGCGTTGCCTGGGGTTGTTGTGACCAAAATGCAGGACCCGGCACTTGGCCCTATTAAACCTCATCCCATTGGCCTTGGCCCATTGATCCAGTCTGTCCAGATACATCTGTAGAGCCTTCCGACCCTCAAGCAGATCAACACTCCCACCTAGTTTGGTGTCATCTGCGAACTTACTGAGGGTGCACTCAATCCCCTTATCTAGATCATCAATAAAGATACTAAACAAGACTGGCCCCAAAACTGAGCCCTGAGGGACACCACTGGTGACCGGCCGCCATGTCATGTTTCATAACATTTCCGTAAGAGGTTAATAATGAGGAACAGTTGAACTGGTATCCAATGGAGTAGGAAGGAGAAAGGCGGGGAGGAGGGACAGAGGTGGTCATATGTACAGATCCAGCTTCAATTTTCTTTGTACTTACTCCATTTGCCTTGCTCAGAGCCTGGAAGTATATGCTGTAGCTTTTCAGGGGCGAAAGCGGAGCGTTCCAGTAGCCGTTGTAGGTCTTGTTGTCACCCACGGTGAACGGCTGTGTGACGGGCAGGTTGATGGGCTTCAGCTCAGCTGCAAAGTAGTGCGGGGAGTCGAGGCTGGAAGCATTCTTGTAGCTCACTGGGACGGAGAAGCATTCGATGATGTCTGCAGCTCTCCGTGCTTTCTGCAGCTTCTCCTCCTTGACAACAAGCTGATAGACACTAGGGGGGTGAGAGGAAGGCAAGATTAGAGCCCCAAGAGTCTTAGATATCAAGAATGTTTCCAACAATAAAAGGAAAAGGCAACGTAAGAGAAACACTGTGAGGGCATCGCAGAAAACACCGTTTTTGGCAGACCAGTAACAGCAGCCACTGAATGTCATCATTTGGGCAAGATGCTGATCTCTTGCTCTGTTGATTTAGTTGGTGAAAGTCAGAGTAGATTTCAATCATGTCACACTTTGGGAAAAAGATGAAATAACAAAATATCCAGTCTATAACGAATTTTTAGAATATTAGAAAGTAGATGCTTGCTTTTTCAGCCACCAAGCTGAATTGTTTGCTTAGGCCAAATGGGGACTGCAGTAGAGGAGAGCGTTAGCACCTGCTAATGGTGTCAGATCCCTTTTGCAATAGTTTCAGGGAGCAAGAACCAGTTTAGGTCAAAAAGATTCTCAATTCTTCTAAGAAAGTAACTTTTCTTGGCCCTCCCTCACACCTCTTTTTGGGATATGTCCTCAGATGAAGACTTCTCTAATATTAATTCCAGACAGCAAGTCTCCTCCTACCTTCCATCACTAAATGTTGGGTTATATACTGAGCAGGGGCTTTCTGCCTCTCCCAAGTCACTTTTGTTTCAGGAAACAACAACTCTTCACATTCTATCCAACTCTATGAAATGTTAATCCTTTTCAATTCCCGCTAAGCTTTTGGCCTTTATGATACATAACAGCAATCTTGTTATTTCTAGCTTACTCTTTCAGGCTCGAGGAGCTTGCAAAGTATTCAAATGCACTCTGATTTTTTTATTTTTTTTTTTTTTCCCTTTCTTTCGCAGGCAGTTAACAAAGCCCCCAAGTTCAATACTGCTGCAGCCCAAGGCAGGTTTACTGTCTGCTCAACACCACTCACCCGTTTGACAAAGAAAGATCCCGCTGCAGTCATTTTACTTTTTGTCAGGATATTCCCCCCGTGCTGCCCTCCCCTGTCTGTGAGAGACTGGGCTTTTGTTTAGGCAGACAGGGGAGATCGATTAAAAGATTGGAAACAGCCAGCAGTGTATCATTCTCCCGGCTTTCACGGGCTCATTGTTGCAGAAAGATTGGTCTGAAAAATTCCTAGCATAGCAATAGCTCATCAATGCTCCTGCGGGAAGCGAGCTCCTGGCACCGTGGAGCTGGAGGGAGACAAAACCTCAGCTCCTGCTTTTGAATTCGCCGTTCTTGCAGGTCTGTGGGTATCTGGCACGCTCACTGCTAACCACAACGGGGCGGTCAGCAAATCGCTTGGAAATCATGTGGCTCCCACTGCTAGGCACAAAACCAACTAATTTTCACAAGACCAATTTATGAATTACTTAGGACTGAAGCTGTCCTCACGCAGGACGCTGCTAACATTCGCTAATGCCGCCGGAGCACCCACCCGACGTACGTATCGCAGCCTTTAATGACATCCCATCAACATTTTGGAAAGCTTTCCTCAATCCTACAGTCCATTAGAGGCCTTAATAAAAGACCGTGGACCTTCTCTGATATCTATTTTACAATTTCTAAAAAGATACACAGGCTTCCCAGCAATACTTCAAGTATTATTGCTGAGGATGTAGTGGGAGCTGGAAGCGAAAGCCCGTTTAACCTGAGCCCTCCTCTCAGCTTGGCAACAGAAACGTTGGGCTTTTGGACACTGCTCACTAACAGTCTATCTGATATTCTTATTCTGACCCTTCTCTCTGGCAATAACAATCCACTGGGAAAGTCTGTCATTTTGTTTGTCAGCAACACGCAAAATTGTGACTGACACTTTTATGGGCATTTGCCACACGCCTATGAACCTAAAAACGCTTGGTTTCTATTTTACACAATCCCAAACACTTGGATTTTCTGGTTACAGAAAATGTTCCCTTTATGTATATACATAAATACATATGTATAAATATATATAAATCTCTGTTCAGCCTAGACAGAGGCCAAGGGTTCCTTCTTCCTACCTCCCAAAGTATCCAAAGGGTGACATTCCCTTGGTGATCCCCTTACACACTTGTCTGTGGAGACATGTCCCAGGGTCATGAACTGCCAGATAACTGAACTCTTCCCCTAATCACCAGAGAACTTATTTATCTGTGAAAACATACTCCATTTCTCTCTTCAGGGTTCTAATACACCCTCCACCAGGACAAGCCCTCTTCTATACTATGAGCAACCTGCTCTGGTGGGACGTGTCTCTGCCCAGAGCAGGGGGTTGGAACTTCATGATCTTCAAGGGACATTCTTCATTTCTCTCTTCAGGGTTCTTAAACACCCTCCACCAGGACAGGCCCTCTTCTATATTATGAGCAACCTGGTCTGGTGGGATGTGTCTCTGCCCAGGGCAGGGGGTTGGAACTTCATGATCTTCAAGGTCCCTTCCAACCCAAACCATTCTGTGATTCTATGAGAAGAGTTTTGATGCATATAGAACCTAATGACAGATACTTTTTTGCCCGTATTCTTTCATGTTTTTGCTTTCATACTCAGCCATAATGCACTTCTTCCTTCCATGGGGATAACTCCTTCTTTTAATGACCCGAAATCTTCCTTTTAATGTTTATTCTTTTGGAATAAATTGAGGAGTCCCTGGAAGCACGAAGATACGTTAATGAACATTCAACTGAAGCGTAGTAGACGTCCCATTTGTGTTCAAGTTAAAACTCCACTAATCTCCTGCTCGAATCCTGTCTCTTTTCCTATAAAACCAGGATGCGAGGGAGCGCCGCGCTCACCGTCCACCCTAATGCCTGCTCTGCTGGAACTCCAGGGGAGCGACTGACTGACTGACTGACTGCTTTCTTGGCACTTTTCTCCTCTCTGTCCCCGCTCCCACCAACCAACACAGGACGTGTGCCTCCCTGTGCTCTCCCTGCCTGACGTGGGGACCCTCACCCTTCAGCCTCACTCCTTTCTCGCAGTCTCAGGTACTTGGTAGTGGCCAAGCGGCCACTCTCAAAGGAAGCAGTCAAGTGGACAAGAGCACGGCTAATTTCAAAGATTGCTCTGGAGTGAAGACTAATCACTCTGAGAAATTATTTCCTTACCAGATGATCGCTCTGGGTCTCATTTCCTGACATTTTGATCCCAGTATTTTGGTCTTTCAGACCGTCCAGAAGCGCAGGATTCCTCGTTCACCCCTGGCTGGTACACAGACCGGTAGAGTCTCATTTCCTCTTTTCTTCTTTTCTGCCACACCTTTGTATTTCAGGTTATGCCCTTTTCCTCATGTTTTGTTTTTACCTAGCAGCAGAATTTTCTTGAGTGCCTTTAGGGCATTTTCAGAGATCAACTTCTCTGCATTAACAAGAGAAGTGCTGCAAAGCACAGCGAGGGCTTCCCTTCCTCACCCGCTACCATCAGCGGTGAGATGCTCTCACAACTGTTCTCCTTCTCATTGGAGCAAGTCATCAGTGATCCTACACCCAAATGAAACTCCGGTGGGAATTCTGAGTAGCAAGCATCCCATTACCCACCTTAGAGTTTGGCCAAACCATCTGCATTCCCACAACAATTCTCAAAGCAGTAAAAGTAATTCAACTTTGCTCAGAAGATGATAACTTTCCATGATACGTTATGAGCCCCAAGATTGCGGTCGGGCACTAACTGAGAATAAACTCAGTGAGCAGGATCTGCCCTTTTGGCCTGCAAAAGCTCTTTGGCTGCAATCACAGCTGTGTCAGTCTTGGGCAGGGCCAACCATTTGCAGCTTGTTAGGACTAATAATTTTCTAATATGGGATTCCAGCCAAGGGAAAGGAGGACTATTTTTCCAAAAAGAAGTGCTAGAGGGAAGGAAAAAAACATTGGGCAACAGAAATAAGGAGGAGATAACCAAACTATTCTTAAAGCTCTTATTCTGGCCACCAGTTAGGCAGTAACACGGATCTCCTGGGGCTTCAGAGCTGCTGCTTTCAGCCACCACCACCTGAAGCACGGCTTTCATAGCAGGATTGATACACCAGTTGAAACTGCCCAGCTGGTAAGAGAGTTTCAGTGTTGTACATTGAAATTATATTAAAAAGAGACAACAAAAGCAGAGCATTAAAGCTCCCCACACTACACCACAACTTCAGTGCTAATAAACTGAAAGACGATAACGGTAAAACTAACAACTACATCTACATTTTTAATATTCAGCTGAATTTGCAAACACTGCAATCCAATGCACACACGTGTGTGCTGCAGGGCATGGGAGCAAGTCCCTCGTGCTCCTAGTGCTACACCACTCCATCCCACCGCCCTGGAGATAGTGATGCTGCTGTCCCCATAAGGACAGGGAAGGACGGGCTTCCAGACATCCATAAGCTCTGCTCTCCAGAGAGCTCTCCAGGGATTCTCCAATCTGGGCAACTAATCAAACGCCTGGCTTCCTAGAAGGCTGGGGAGCCGACTGCCCTGTTGTGCAGCTGCACGCTCTTACTAGAAAAGGAGGCCAAAACTGGATTCCTCGAGAAATTTCACAGGTCTCAGATAGATAAATCCACATTACTTAAATAGAAGCTTTTTAAAGTTTTTGACAGCTCCACTCTAAATCACTGATAAAAGCACCAGCCCTAATGGTCGCCACCACACAAATGTTGTCTGCAGAGGAAGAAAATGTGCTCTTATCATCATCTACAAGGTAATCTTTTAAATGATGAGTTCTCTATTCAGCGTGGAAGCCCAACTGCAGATAATCAACACTCCAAATCACAGCCCGTTTCTGCACGACTGAGATCTCTCCGAGCACTGTCAGACTTCTCCTGCCCCTGCTCTTCATTTCTCTCCGTGCCTCTTGCAGCACGACGTGAGGATGGACTGGGGAAGCACTTGCCCAAAAAACCTACCCATGTATTTAGACCAGACTCAAGTCCTGGATGTAGGATGTGCACAAATGTGGAAGGGAAAAGCCAACTCAGAGCTTTCCATAAAGAATTCAACATCTGCTCAGGGCACTTTGCTATCCTGATGTGATACCAACAAGGTGAATTCTTCACTA